TTTCATTTCTGTAAAAATTATAGATCTGATCACAAAATAAAAAAAGCTTTCTGAAAATTGGTATTAGAAGTTATTATTTATTGTTTATTAAATTATTAAATATATAAGTTTCAACATTGATTTTCTTCTATACATTAAACTTTGGATGTTGTTTAAAAGAAAAATTTGAGGAAAAGTAATGAATAATTATTATAAAGAAGGATTATTTTGTTATGATTGTTTATATTCTGTTTTTATTGACCTTATTCACAATCACTTCAATCTAAAATTGAAGAAACTATTTTATTATTTACGAATATTATTTTTCAAAACTACATTTACTTAAATCTTTCAAGTTTCGGAAATTTGCCTTTTTTTTATATAAATTATTTATTTATTCCTAGATGGATAAGAGGTAAATAATATATGAGGTTAGTATTTTTATTGCACCTAACAGTATATTCAGTTATTCTAAATTTTTAGTTAAATAGACATTTTGATATTCTAATATGAGAAAGTGATTTAATCCTCATATGGACGCTTAAGCCTGAATAAGACGATGAAATTACTTTCTCGCACTAGTATCGTAATGGAATATTTCAATTATTTCAACTACTAAGCCAGTACTGAATGAAAATTCACTTTCTATTATTCCACAATACATACTTCAATCGGCTTTTGATGGAAACAAATTCAAATCATTGATATGGACATTACCCTCAATTCTTACACCATGTTACTGTGTAAAATAGTTTATATGTAAAATTTTAAATAAATTTTATGTTATAATAATAGTATATGTAATTGATCGAGTTACCAAATTTATTTATTTAAGAGAAAATATTAAATAACCTCTTTCTGCTTAATCGGTAACGCAATGGAGCATTGGGAAACCACAATCTCGCAATAGTGCCGATGTATATTTTTTCAATTTTTGTTAACTACACTTTTTATTAAAGGAAAAAAATGTGTAGAAGTGCACACATTTATGAATTGACGTATATAAAATGAACACTGCAGAGTAATTCAAACCGCTCATAATTACATTTTTATTTGTTACAAAAATGAGGACAGAGTTGAAAAACATTGAGAAATGTTGAAAAGTGTAGAAAATCGGTGTGTAATTAAAAGAGTAGCAAAGAAGATTGTATGATGTTTTTGTTTGAAAATATAGACAAATATATGAATGTTCATATTTAAAAAAATATATTTTGTATTTTGTATTTATAGATTTCAGACAATTACAATTTCACACAATATAGATTCATACTTCATACAGTAACACTATATAACATTGTATCCTGTATAGGTGTATTTACACCTGTACATGGGGTCGAATAAACGTAAAATAAAATTCTGTAAAATATAATAAATAAAACAATTGAATCATTAAAATTTCCGGGGAAGTCCCAGTACTCAGCGGGTGTATTCAGTATACCAGTCTGTGCTAGAACCTTTCTACATGAATTTCGATTTAGATTGCGCGTATGATATGTGCTTATTGGATAACTTGGTTTATTCAAATATTTACATCATTTATGATTACCAAAATCTTACTAGCATATATCTCTGTCGTGAAATGTTCGGCAAGAGCATTACTATCCCTAACATATATTACTTTTTCTATATTACTTAACTTCACAGGACATTTATAAGGCCCTCTGCACATGTTACTCTGTAGTGCGGGAATATTTCCTTGTTTTGCTTATAGTCACACAAATTTATAGGGTGAGGTGAAAACAATGTCCTCTATAATTACCTGGTGTTTATGTTGAGATTGTTGTTTCAGTGAATACATTGAGTTAGTGAAGGTCTATTTTCCTTTTGTCCTTTATCAAAAGAGAATAAAGCTTTATGTAATTTAAGGTAGTTAATATCTCCATGAGATATAAGATAGCAATTTAATTGCAAAATCTTACTTCCTCGCGAAGATGCTGCCTCCTTTCGTTTAGCTTTTCTTCTATTATCGTTGGCCATTTTATCAATCTTATCAAATGTCTATTCTTTCGGTTCATATTCTTTCCTTATTGTATTTCTTTTTATATTCTGGAATTTTTGCAGATCCTTTTATAAAATGTGTATAATTTGTTAATGAATAGAATAAAAGTGATATATTTTATTCAATCTTTGCTTTTTACATATTCATTATTACTATTTTTTTTTATATTTTCTTTTGCTTCTGACTCATATGCACTAATTTTGTACTCATAGATTTATTTTATTTTTCGCAAATGCATTTTCCTACTATTTTATTAATTATTTCTATGAAATGATTAGTTTTCTTTCGTTATTTAAATCCAATCGTAGTATTAAATACGACGATGTGAGCGTTTGTAGGAAAGTAAACATTTTTGCCAATATCGTAAATCTACGTTCGTGTATTGAGTAATAATTTTGCAAGATATACGCTATTCCTATGGACAACTAATATAGGATTTAATCGTACACTTGATAATTTATGAATGGTTATCTAGATGTTTGAGATGTTTTGTATTAATCAACACCATAGAAAAAACTTCTTAGAGAAAAAATGTTTCTATTTTCAAGAAAAATAAATATCTACTTTTTAAATTCCATTTAAAAAAAATAATTTTTTTTTCATTTTTTTTATCGTAATTTTTTTTTTTCAATCGATTAAAATGAGAAACTTTCATTATCAATTAAAAATTCAGGACTTTTAAATTATATTTAGATAATTTGCTCTTAAAAATTCACAATAAGCTTAATTTTTTCTCTATAAGGATGTATTGAAAAGAAAAATTCATTGATTTCCGCTCTATTGCAAATGTGAATGCCTACGCAGATTCGGGCAAGAATAACGTGTGTACTCAAAGCTTAAAATTACGGTGCGATTGTCAGATAATTCAGACGGCGAAAACGTGTGTCCTTTAACCTCGCTAATAATTCAAGAATTTTCTGACCCGATTCCTGTACGATTAATATAAAAACAAAGAACTTAGAGAAATCTTGCCAGAATCACGCTTAAATCTAAGGATCAAGCAGGGATCGTAAACTTTGCGAAGAAAACTTAGTCGATATAAGTCGCAGCACTGTTTCTCGCAGACTAAATTAAGCTAGGTTATTTGGGGGTGTTGGTGTTAAAAACCGACTGATTAGTGTCAAGAATAAAAAAGCTAAAGTAGAATTTGCTCAGGCTCATAAAGACTGGACAATACGAGATTGGAAAAAAGTTTCTTTTCTCAGATGAAACTAAAATAAATTTATTTCGGAATGATGGAAGGAGGTATGTTCGACGACCAAAGAATACCAGGTTCAATTCTCGGTATCAAATACCGACAGTAAAACGTGGTTCAGGTAATATTATGCTCTGGGGAGGTTTTTCGTAATAATGAGTTGGTCTAATTGTAAAACTTGATAATACTATGGACTCGGCAACTTATAAAAAGATCTTGGCAGATAATATACCTTCCCTATGCACGTCAAAATATGCCACGAGGATAGGTTTTCCAACAAGTCAACGATCCTAAGCATACATCTCCTCTACTTTAATGATTTTTCAAAATCAAGAAGCTTCGTATTCTTCAATGACCGAGTCAATCTCCGGATTTGAATCCGATCGAACACTTGTAGGAGGTATTAAAAGTAAAAGTAGGTGCAGAAAATTGTTCAAATAAAAGAATGCTATGGGAAAAAGTACAAAATGAATGGCGTAAAAACGATTGAGAAATAATTAAAAAACTAATTGAATCAATGCCTCAGCGATGTGCGGCAGTGATAAAATCGAAAAGCATCTCAACAAAATGTTAAAATACATTCTAACTTTTATTTGATATAAAGTGATTTTCCGTTCGTTTGTTAATAGTCTTCATAATAATTTACTTAACTAAAAAAAAGATATAATATTGTTTTGTTGTAAAAATGTACGTTTATATTAAATTTATAGTTTACATTATCTTTATTGTTATACATTTTATAAATATTTTATCTATAAAAATGTAGAATTTGTAGTTCTGAACGTGTAATAAAGTTAAAACTCAGTTGAAATCAATGAATTTTTCTTTTCAATATATCCTTATAGAGAAAAAAATCAGCAGGGTAAAAATTAATTTTATTGTGAATGTTTATTGTGAAGAGTAAATAATCTAAATATAATTTGAAAGTCCCGAATTTTTAATTAATAACGCAAGTTTTTCATTTTTAATAGATTGAAAAAAAATTACGATAAAAAAAATGAAAAAAAAAATTTTTTTTTTTTCAAAATAGAATTTTAATAGTACATAGTTATTTTTCTTGAAAAAACAAACATTCTTTTTCTAAGGAGTTTTTTTTGTATGGTATCGGCATTTGAAGATAGACGAACTTGAAAAAAGAGTGATTTAAAAAATGAAATCAGCTTAACTTTAAATTGGCTCGATAAAGAAGAATTTTGTTGCACTCATTTTAAAAAAGAGGCAAATATGTATCTATTCCATTTTATTTTTTAAAAATCTGTAGACTCCTTCAAAAATTATAAAGTGTTTTTTGCAGTTTGAAAAAAATGAAAAAATGTGATCCAATTTTTTTAGTGTAAAAAATGCTATTTTCAATCGTTTAAAAAGACCAGCGAAATATGAAAGGTATTGCTTTACCCTTCAAAATGAGCCCCGCGGGTTCACCAACGACTAATACCGAGCGAGCTACAAAACTTTAAATTTTTGATCATTCCAGTATAGGCTGGCCAAAAACTTATGCATGCAACTGTGAATAGATTATGAACATATTGTGGTCTATAATAATCTCTCAATCTTTTACTGAGGAATGTATATGTAAGAAAATATAATTGTATATTACGAATTTTTTAAATTAATTAACTTAGTGCCGATATGCTTACTAAAAAACTTATGACTTTTTCTAATAAAACTAGAGTAACTCGTTCTATAAATTACTGACATCAATTGAAACAATGTTTTATTAAATTATTACTAATCAAAATATGAAACATTCTTTTTTTTTTAGAACTCGACACGATCAGTTTATAATTTTCTATAAAAAGGTAAAAGATTGAAAAGCATTTTTGTGTGAACATTTTATTATAATTACAATAATATAATTGATAATAATCGTATTAATAATCACTTTTTTATAATCATAACCATAACCATGCTTTGACATCACGACGTGTTAAAGTAAATCATATTTTAAATGTATATGTTGGTATGCAACATTTGACGTGCGTTTCTCACGAATGGTTTTTTATAATAATTTATGCGCACTAAAATATTAAGTCTGCAGTTTGCTATAAAATATCTATATAACCATATGAAATACGGACAAACAAAATATAACAAATCTGTATATCGTCGAACATACAATTTTGTGAATAAAGAGTTGTTTGTATTTCATACTCAAATTTGTAACATTTATATTTATGCTCATCAGTTAGTTCCGTTTTCTTTAATGATTATAAATTAAAATTTGGTCATTCGTTCAAACATTAGCAAGCTTTATTTTTTAAAGCTTGTAATTTAAAAGTTTCGTTTCATAAAATTGTATAATTTGTCTATGACTTTACGTTTGTGAAAGATATCGTCATTCACAAATATGAGAAATGTAAAATAAATCATAATTACTTTTGAAGTTTTAATAGCAATTGAAATAAAGGTATCGCGTACGATTATATTTGTTATTTCTATTTCTTCCAAACTTCGTTTTTACGTTTTTATTGAATATTTTCATCTAGTTGCTATGATCAGTTTCTATAACTTTTTTTTCCTACGATCATAAAATTTTTGATAATTATACACAGAAGTAATGTCGTATTTAACTATTTCATTTTTATTTCTCAATGTTATCTTAGAAAACTGGTTATTTACTATGTATAAATTAATTTTCTAAATGATCAACTCGATTTCAACATCAACTTTCTGCCTAAAATAAAATGTCGAATATAACTATACTCCTAGAATTTTTCAACAAACTATTAACTAAAGACATAAATATAGAGTTTTCTATTTCACATTGTCTTTATGAATAAAACAAATTAAATAATGCACTTCTATAACATTCCTGGCTATTCAATCTAAGCTCGTGACAGATTAACAATGATCCAATTGTATATCTTGAGTTTAATGAATTATTTTATTTATTTTAATGCACTAGAATAAAAGGCAATATCAATATTCCTTGCACATGCTCGAATAATATTTCGTGTAATAAGTTCATTTATTCATTAGTTTCATCACAATATTTTAAAGAGATCTTTTACCTAAAATTGCTCGCATTCATAATATTTTATATATTTAATATTTTAAATTACTTCAATAATTAAAAAAAATATGCCTACATAGAATGGTTTATGTTTATACGAATTTCGTTTATTTAAATCGCTTGAGGTACAATTGATATTTAAATATTAGCAAGAACCGAAAATTTATAAAAAAAAGTTTTGATGCTGAATTCGAGTTCAATTTCCATGTCCAATTCAACGAAATTATCAAAGTTGAGTCGAAATGTCTTTACGGCGTGAAATGCTCTTTTAGTAATAGTTTTTCGTTCATTATTCGACACACAAAGCGATAAGGCATTGTTCAGATATGTTAGCTGAAATCTTTGGCTATTCGGACACAGCGCGTATTTCGAAAGCCGCTTATAAAAATATTTATATCTCATGATTCTCAAAAAACATTCGCTTTGAAAGAAAACTTTTATTTCATTTAATTCTTTTTCTTTTTGGCGACCTTTTAAATTATTCCGATAGAAACTCTGAGGCAAAGGTCTACCGAAAAAGTGTGTTTATACAATGATGTACATATAGATGAATGTTAATGTAGAATGGGAAAATAATGTGCAAATGTTTTGTATTGAGCAGAAAAATAGTTTTTGACAATCTATTTATAGCATTTTACGAGAGTTTCTATCGAAACAATTTGATAAGATGACAGATTAATATACAATTAATGACTCTCGTTTTTCTCGATTTGGCTATATATCTTGAAAGTTTAGTAAACATTGCCATTATTTTTTTACATTGTCTTTCTTTATCAGAGAGTTTGACAGTTTAGGATTGCTTAAATTATTTCAATCGTCTTTTGCATATTAATCTTAATTTGATAAATTTGGTCTCTTATGTGCAATGACGCAATTTGTAAAAAGCAGTGCTCTTTTAGTATTACATTATATTATTTTTTAATCAGCATTGTGCGTGCTACGAAATCGAGTAAGACGTTCCACGCTGTTAAATCGTTCATAACATTACACCTTCTGCATTACAATTTTAAAATATTATCACATTTACAATATTAATAACCATAATCTATGAATTTTAAATATAATAAATTACTCATTTCTATTTGCTTTTTCATAAATATAAAAAAATGATCGAGTAATTTTTACAAAGCTTATATTTCGAAACATCATTTTTTAACGAACAACTTGGAAATGTTTTTACGCTTTATTGATTTTATATCAAATGTTTCATCACGTGATTATTTTTTAATTGTTGAATGATTTTTCCTAATATGTAGTACATTATACTCAACGATCAAATATTTGACTTAACTATTTACTTTGGCACATCAACAATTAATGCAATAGATTCTTTTCTGCTTATAGTCAGTACAGTTATCAAACAAATTTACAAGCATGTTAAAAAAACAAATAATGACGAAAATAAAAGATAGTTCCACAGCTGGTTGTACTAATGTTGCAAAAACATCATAGTATGTGCGTTTCTTCTTGCTGAAAAATTGTTATTACATTCATGATATTTTAATAAATTAGAAATGGTACACTTCAATCAAATTATTAAGTTTTGCAATCATTTGATTTGATTTATTTATTCATTTATTTATTTTTTTTTGTATTTCTAAATCATAGTTTATTTTATAAGTAAAATTTTCTCAGATAACTAAGGTGACTACAAATTTATGAATACAACTTTATTTATTTTTCTTTTTTTTTCTTTTTTCTTTTTTTTTTAAGCCAAGAACTTCACTTACATCCGCATGCACAGTATACAACTTCATAAGCTTCAACAATTCCCATTTACAGTGTACAAAATCAAACACAAGGAATAAAAATAATTTGTGTACATTTTGAGATTAGTTTTCGTTGGTATAAAATTTGATTTTTATTCCTTGAAACTGACTTTTTTATTGTAACGTAACATTAGTCAACAGTAAGTGCAATACTTTGTCGTAGCAACGTATATTTTCTAAGATTATCAGTATCTCTCTATTTTTTTCATTAAAACTGACAGAAAAATTCACATCAGTCATATATTTTTGTCACAACGGTTCAACACCAGATTTCTTTGCTATATTATTATGTACATAGTACCGGAAAGTTGTTAATATTTGGCACAGGAAATGATGTCGATAAACATTTCTCTTTCAATAAAGTTTTAGGTACTGATGGTATAACGTGCATATCGAGGTTTTCTTCTACATTTATTAATTTATACTATTTTACTCATAAATTATACATCCTATTCTATTCTTCTAAATCTAATAATAATCGGCTTTGTGACATACGCGCACTTATGAGATTCGGATCACTTAAGAAATGTCTTTAACAGTTTTGTATTTTTACTTTGTTCTATTTCCGCAGACAAAGTGAGAGTCCATGCATCTGTACATTGTATAAATGTGTCCTTATGGACAGCTCGTATCCCACCACCGAAGCCAGTTTGCTCGAATAATTAGTCGATTCTGCGCCGGCCATATGAAAGGATGATGTGCCAAACGTCGCTCGAAAGGTGCAGTATTGAAGATGATTTTATTTGCTTGTTTGAATACCTGTAGTAAGAATATACAATATTATACGATTATTTCTGGTACTGGTTGAAAAAATTCATCATAATTTATTTCGAAGTAGCATTGCATTGATTTTATTTTAAAATGCATCTCATTTATCCATGTATATTATACACACATACTTAAAAGTCAAGAATGACATTAATAATGGTAAAGTAGGTTAGAATAAGCTCGAACAGGTAATTAAAAAATAATTAAAAATAAAGAAAGTAAGATAAAAATACATACGACTGTTTGTGCAAAGGTAGAAAAAAGGCAATTCACGAAATGAAATATGGTTCAAGAGCCAAAATGAAATATGAACCTTCATCGAAGGTTAAACTTGAAACAAATTTAATCCTTCATCCACTGCGATATTCGCCTCTCGAGTATTCGTCATCTGACCATCGGCCCCTCGCCGGCGATTCGAGCTATGGTGGCTCTGGCTCGGAGGTGGGAGATTCCTGCTACGCTTCCAAAAATATCAGAGCCGTTGGTTTCGGCTCCAGATTGCTCTTTTTCGCCTCGACCACTAGGAACTCTATTTCGTTGCGATCCCTTCGTGCGAATGATTCCGCGATCAACCTTGCCACTTCCTGATGGTGCATTCCTGAATAACCAAATACCAATGTTCCGATAAATTACTCTTAAAAGAACAACATAGCAAGCTTTCATCGGTTCTACGATCAAAATTTGCATCGATGTGTCTCTTAACATAAAGAAGGATAATAATCGAGCTTAAAGCTTTCCTCGTGGAACAAAATACTTATTGCAGTTGCCGTGCAAGCCTTTTGAAAGCAGAGATTATTCATTGACTTTTTTAATCATAACATACCTTCGACCTTGCGACCGTCGACCTCCAGGATCAGTTGGCCAACTTCCAGACCACCAGCATCGTAAGCAGCGCCATTATCCTGTTTGCAAAGAGACGTCAGCGGCAATGAAATATGTCGTCCACAATGCCCTTTCGATTTCCGAGCTATTCCAAGCGAATGCAATTCGGATAGAAATTCGAGGACAAAATGTCAAGTATATATCCGAGAAAAATTATATGACGAACGGAGCTTTCAATTCTTCTGTGCTAAGAACTCGTCGGAGTGACTTAATATGCAGAAGCATCGTTCTGTAACGAAGCAATAAGCGAAAAGCCGGTCGGCTGCTTGCTTGCCGATCTAGACCGTGCGAAAGTCTTTGGGCGAGGCCTCTTCCTTTATGTCCAAGAGCCTGCACAGACTTTGCGTGTCCCATTCATCGTTGGCTTACTGTGTTTTTTCTTTCTCAACTCGAGACTTTTCTGCTTCGCCTCGTTAACCCGGAAATCGATAAGCTTGACTTGGTGTTTTACATCCGCGCACTGGATGAAAAATTGTTTCCTTATCACGCTTCATTGGCATTATTGTTTCGTTAAATTCTCGCGTTTGGAGGTCACTCACGAGCGCAGACCAGCAATGATGATCGGCGCTTTTCGATGCGATGACACGGCGTAATTTGCACGCGTTACTCGCGTGCGTCGACCTTTGAGATTTTGAGTAAATGATTGTGGCTTCCTTTGTTGAAATTATTACTTTTTTTCGCAATACCATTCGCAATTGAGATCGGTATCTCTTCCGTCAATTTCTGCTTTTATTTTCGTATAAGAGATCCTTATATCACGCAAGTAATGAAAAAGTTGTATTTCGGTAGATTGAAAATTTCAAACGCGGAAGTAGCGTTTTGATTTGTGCTAATGCTTTGGCTACTTTGCCGTGTGCGTGATTGTAAATTGCATCATTTGGCACCAAAACACATTAGAACTTGATAATGATCTGGCGCAAACGCGCAAACGCGCAAACGCGCAAACGCGCAAACGCGCCAACGCGCCAACGCGCGTGCACACGTACTCGTATGTACGTATACAAGCGCATGTATGGTTAGTGACTGTTCACGCTGTTGTTTTGTTGCTTCCAACTACGATGCCCGTCCACGATGCTTTGTCCTCTGGTCACGTGAACGTTCACGCGAACAAAATGACTGGACGCGGACAGAGCGGTAATGGACAAGGGGGACAAACAACGCATACGCAGGTGGTAAGGCATTTTGTCCTCGAACGCGTGCGGAATGCCTGCCAAGAGGCAGAGAGCAGCACACTCACGTGGATGTTGATGATCCTAGGCAGAGGATGCTTGGTATTGGCACCGCCTTCGATGGCGATGCCCAGCGTCGGTCTGCTCTTCTTGACGATGATACGCAGGTTGCCCTGCTGGTCGGGCACGACGATGGCGGCATCCTCCTCGCGGCGGTCAGCGAGGTCGCCTCGAGCGGTCAACCTCTGAGCGCTATGATGCCTCCGTGGCGGGCCCACTGCGGTGACGCTACCGGCAGTTCGGCCAGTGCCTTCCTCGAGCAGCTGGGCCTCCTGTATGTCATAACTCCGTGAAAGCTTGTGCGTATACTCCTGGAAAAACAAAGAGAGGCGCACCCGCGGGCGACAGGCTCGTCAATCTTCAGAGCGGCTCTTTTCTTGCTTCATTTTTCATGTTAGTTTTTTTTTTCTTTTACTTATTTTGCTTTTGCTTTGGCTATATGCACGCTTTGAAGCGACCTATAGCGGCACTTGTATACGCTCATTACTCATTGCTACGGTACTTCATCGCGCGGCTGCACTTCTCTATGCTAGTAGGCTGCACCTCTGCCCAGTGCGACTCTGCCACTTCCTTCTGGCTTGCCGTCTTTTCTTTTACTTTCCGAATGGAGAATCTGCTCTCTCGTGAGAGACTTCGCGTGTAAGGCAAAGCTAAAGTGCAGAGTCGCGCGTGGACAGCGGCCGTTTACGCCATGTATATGCTACGAAGCACGTAATTGCACGCTAAGGCACAATCACTGCGCCTGTAAATAATTGAAAAAATCATACTGAAAACAATAAACTAATTGCTATTATTAGTAGTCTAAATGGTACAATGTAGGCTAAATCAGATGTACTAGATGTTTACAAGAATGTACGTGGATATAATTAAAATGAGAGATAAAGAGAAAAAAGAGAGATGTGGTTGCCTATGAGATATAATAAGGGTTTAATATAATATACGTACAATGCGTGTATAATACACATTTCCAAGTAAGTATTGAGAGATGAATGAATATATATTAAGAGTCATGCTTGCTGAATATTGGCTAGTAGTGGCAGGGTGTTAATTGGTTGGTGCTTCGGAAAGTGGTGGCAGTCGTGACGGTGGTGGTGTTTCGCGCGACGTTCCTTATTATACTTTAACCTAATATCGTCTCAAGAAATTTTGCAAAATATCTTTACAGATTCTACTGTCTTTATATCAGTCATTTGATTGAATAACTATTGTCAGTGCCTACAGTAGGTCTCGTACTTAATTCATCTTTTTCACATGAAACAATATTAACGATTCTTCAATACACACAACCAAACTAACATTTTTTTTCAAATGGAAATTAAGTTCATCTAAAACTAGCTATTTCGCTAAGAACTAAGGTACAGGACTATTCAAACGATTTCTATCTAAAATTCAATCCCTCAAATTTTCATTTTCATGCTGCTATGATTATAAAGAAATGACAAATTACACTTGCCTACTTTGCACGGTTGCTGAAACTATTGCTTAAGTAAAAAAAAGTACGAATAAAAACACATAGTAACCTATTACTGTTAACAAACTTTTAAAAATATCCAAATAATATATTAAAATCACTCAAGCGGTAAAGTAAACACTAAATTTCCGATGTGATATTGAAAGTGTTAATGTCAGAGTGTGTGTGCTGTGGCTTATTTTTGCTTGAATATTTTTGTTGTATTTATATTATACACACATTTTTCAGTATTTCAGCAAAGTAATGAATAATAATTCACCACTATTTATCTAAATAAATCTCGAAAAAATAAATATAATCGAGATAATTTTTGTGACAAATAGTTTTACATGTGAACGTGCAATCTAAATATCTAAGTAATATGTATCGTGCTAGAAGTATAATGTGTCAACACAAAAAAATACAAAAAAACTAGTGCAAAACATGGAAAAAACATGTACACTTTCAATTCACTGAAATATGAGTGTTTGAATCGACTATGAACTATGTGAGGTTCTATAGTTAAAATATCATTTCGTATACTCTATTATAGATTACAATTTTATAAAAATATTTCAAAAGATGGTCTAAACCAAGTGATATTCATGCTGAAAGTAAAATTAGCTGCTAATCATGACTATTATTACTGATTCGTTTTAGTTTTTAAGATTCTCTTGCCTCTCTAAATATCTCTTTCGAAACTTGATAATAATAGGTTGATATTTCTTTAATAAGATGTTATTGATTTTTTAGCTCACATATTTATTTTTAACGAATATAATTGATTCAAACTGGTATAAAATGGAAGTTTCCTCCGATATTGAATAAAAGAATTGAAACAGTGAGACATTCAGCGTGCTAGTCATTTTATTCGAAAATGGTACTATTTACTTGCAATTTCCCTTTAAATACTTTTATAAACTTATACATAACACATAATTAAAATTCATACAAATAATAATTTATGCTGAGTATTGAGTATAACTGCATGTCATTTTCATTGTGATTTATATTATGTTAAAAGTGTTTTCCGTGTAATATTTGTAATCTTGTAACGAACCGTTTGAGAGTTTCAGTAACTGGAAAAAAATCATGTAGTTTGTTCAACGAATAACATATCAAATATTTTATATTCAACAAACTATAATAAATAAACGTTATTTTTTGTTACCAAATTTTATGAAACAAATAACTTAAAGTTATTCAGCAATATTTTTAAAATAATTACATCGATATAGGCATCGTTTTCATGTCGTGATTCAATAATAGCTCAATAATAATATACCAGTTTTATCAAGCTTACAGCATTTATTTCAAACTTTTTCATTAAATTGCAAGTAAATAATAGTACATTTGGATACTATGCGAGAAAGTAATTTCATCCTCGTGTGGACGTTTTCGTGTGGACGAAAACACTTTCTCGCACACGTATCTAACTTTATTTTCCGATTCGACGTGTGTGGGACGAGATTTTAAACATGCTCGATTCCTCGAGCTTGCATGAAGTCAAGGGCCCACGTACGGTATATCGAAAAAACATTTGAGGTGCGCGTTGTGTGCTCACATGTTTTCGGTGTATCACATACGCATCTGAGTGTGCAATTTTTACTTAATATCAAAAAATACGCGGAACAAAAAATTTAAGGTAAGGTAAAAAGAAAAAAAAATAGTGAGAAAAAACCAGCAAGTGCAGAAGAGGTGAAAACTTGTTTTAGAGTAAGTATACGTATTAGAAAGAAGTATCTGACTGTGAGAGATCCTCGTGCCAATTAGAAGAAAGGATTGACCGTTAAATAAGACATTGAGAAGAGACGCTGAGTGTTGGAAAGAGCGCGAGAGATAGTAGAGAGAGAGAGAGAGAGAGAGAGAGAGAGAGAGAGAGAGAGAGAGAGAGAGAAATAGAATGAAAGAGAAAGAGATAGATAGGGACTTACGAGGGGTCTGCCCCAATACCAGGACTTGACGCGTTGCGTAAGCCCATCGAGTAGATGGGTCCTCCAACCACCGAAACCTCCACCACCGCCACTCTCCGAGCTCCTCTCCTTCCTTCCATCATCTTCGTCGTCGGTGGTATCGCGAACGCGCCTGATGCCGTTACCGATCACCATCTCGGCGTCGCTACCCTCGCAACCGCCGTCGCTCTCCTTTGTTTTATTTTCATTTTGTTTATTTTTCATCGTCAAACAAGAGCGATTGCAGCGTGACATCAACGCGCATGACGGATACGGGGCACACCATCAGTTTGTTTGTTTTTTGTTCATTTTCATTTTCATGTTCGTTTTCATTGTCATTGTCGCAGTCCATTGACGACGCACAGGGGGGAGAGGAGACACGCAGAGAGACAAACAGAGAACAAAAGCAGAAAACAAACATATTTATCAGCTTTCCTCATCTTCATTACTGGTTTCTTTTGACGAGCTACTCGTCTATCTTTTTGTAATATTTATTTACTTAATATTCAATTTTTTCAAATTGTATTACTAGTATCATCTTGTTTCATGTACTAGGACCTTAAAATTGCAAAAAGTTCCATTCAGTAAAATGATTTTATTCTTTTTTCTTGCTGCGACTATTTAATTTAATCAACTAATTTGGCCTTTTCTAGACGTTAAGTATAAAGTAAAGTCTAAAAAAAAGATATCGATTACTCCTTAAATAAATACATTGAATCTATTGACGTAAATGGGCACAAAAACAGTCAACAGACACTTTTGATTTCAATTGAACAATTTTTCAATCAGTTTTCTGATCAAAAGAACCATTTTGTCGAACAAAAGTAGATGGATTATATGGAAAATTGAAAGCGTTGGACTGTGTCCAAAATTCCAAGTTTGAAGAGCTAATAGAAGTAATTGAATCGAGGTCACAATTTAAAATTCATATTTTCGCGTACTAAGAATTTTCGATGGAGGCCTATAATTTTAATAGCTTTTTTCGTCGCTGACAATTCATTGGCTGGAGTGCATTAACGGAAACTAAAAATGTCGATCGTGTCCTAATAGCAAGAGAGCAGAGTTCCGTAGCGATAAAAGTTATTAGAAGAACTACAGGCATAAAAGTGAAACGGAACTGTCTGCAGCCATCTGGCAAAGGTTTAGAAATAACAAGAAGGAAGGAAATCGCGTAATGAACGGTTGGTGAGAAAGCCAGTCGACGTATACACGTCGTCCCATCGGCTAATTCGATATGAGTTTCACTTTTATATCGCGTGCACCGTCGCTGCCGCCATAACGTCATGGCTCTTATTAAGTGTACACGTCTTCCGCACGGAGGACGTGCACACACTTAATACGATATTTACATGCGAGCGAGGCAACGATATTATAAGTCGATCATCATCGGCACCAAACTAGGCGTACCGTGAGACGTCTTATTTCCCCTGTTTACCCGCGCGATGACGATACGTGACGATATGTGCCGCTGAGGTACGTAAATAAACAAGCGCCAACCGACAATTACTTATTGCGAATTAATGTCTAGGTCGAGCGATGCGCTTCTTTGCTATCGAGAACGCCAAACCCATCTGGCGCCGCACGACAACTTGGTCTTCTTCCTCTCTTTTGCCGCGAGGATGCGAGCGGCTGCGCCGATAATGAGACGTTTTTATGCCTCCTTGATTGTTGTCAAACGATTTCTGGTTCCTCCTTTTCGGTATACATTTAAATCTCACAAACTCATCAAAAGAGTTGAGCTTGTGGACCCGGTTAAATGCACTTTGTTTTCAACTTTTCTACAACTTGTTTTTACGATCTATCATTTTTGCATAACAGCCTATAGTTTTATAGAGGCATTAATTGTTATGTTGTTGTTGTTGTTGTATTTCGTAACTCATCGATATAATGCAAAGAAGAGGTGGTTGCAATTACACATTCGTTTTGAATTTACCGTTGATCGTGTAGTATTTGACAAAGCCATTTATTCGCTAAGATGTTTACAAGCGAGAAGACTTTTATATATATGTAATATATAAAGTTTAAATCAAAGTGTAATCTATAGCTGACGAAAGAGATAGCAGCGACAAGCTGAGTCGCTAATCGCCGATAAATTTACTGTATACGCTTCGACCAGCACGCATAAGCGCAACAAAGTGGCCGTACAAAGCAATTATTTCCGCTTCGATACCGTAGCGCACATTTTTCCATTTTTGCGAGAGCATTGTAACAATCGAATGATTGTTTCCGTAAGTGGTGCGAGGAAAAAAAGGACAAAACGGATCGCGTTGAGTCACTTCGAAGCACAAAGATAATATATCGGGTGAGCCGCGATATGCTTATGCATGTACATGTAAAGCCAGAGACACACATGCACGTAATACACAGAGTTCTCGCGACGGACCGTTTCAACCATCGACCTACTTCTGGCGGTTAATCGCGCGCCGGCCGACGCCGCCGGATGTGCGCCTCGAGTCTGCGCGTCACAAAGGCGCGAAAGACTTTCTCTCGGCCGCGCGCGGGTCGATCGCCTCCGTATAATACCACTCGAACGGCTCTCTCCTATGTACCGCGGAGACTCGATCCAGGCAGCCTCGATATGTATATAAGTATATTGCGTCTCCGACAAACGCCGAACCGAGCGCCAAAACTCACTCGGAGATTCGCCAAGCAGTTTCTCAGCTTTTCCTTTCTCTCGCCGATCGACGCGCTTCCAGCGCAAAAGAAGACCAAAAGCTACGTAGCACTCGCCCGACACGGCCGCAAGATTGATGAGGGGCCCGCTATATTTGGCGATGCCTGGCGCGCGCATCGATTAGTCAATAAAACGCCCCGATTTCGCATGCAAGCTTGCCCACAACAATAATCAGAGCAATGCAAATTATCCTCGCTGACTCGCTCCGTATTATCGTGTACGAAGCCACGACAGCGTGGAAATTGATGCACAGATCGTCCCTACCGCGGATAATCGTAAACAACCCATGCAAGTCGCCCTTTCTGCGAGCAGATTCCAACACTTTGAATTTTCATGAAGCTTTTCAAACTTATATTTCAATCCACCTCCCGGGTCAACGAATATTTCGCTAAAAACCTTTACTTACACCTCGACTCGCGCGCCAACGTGTCAGATATTCAGATGGATTTATTTGCTGAGCACCGTTATAAAGATTGATAATTGTTTGCGCCCCGACAAACAAACAACCGCTAACAAATGCCAGGCTCGAATAATAAATTCTCTTATTCACGAGTTGCTATACACGTTTCTCACTCGTTCGCGATATTTAATTTGAAACGCGCTGAAAAATAGCATCTCATTATTCGAATATATCGGTCGATATTCGTATCATTGCATAAGCTAGATGCATCCAATAAGATAAAATAACTTATTTTCAACGTTCTCTAGCTTGAGTCATGGTATTTTTAATCAACCCGAACAAAGTGGATGCGTTTCAGGTATTTCAGTCGTGTATGTATATATGTATGTATATATGATTAATTTTGCGAAACAGAACGAAAATCGATATTTTGACTTTGATAACTGTAATAACTAAATATAGTCCCATATCGGGTATACTCGAACTACAAAGATAATTAGAGCAGCATTTCACTTATTCATACGCGTTAGAGAATTTCTAATGAAGGTTTATAGTGGAATATAAAGACGGCGAACCAAATACCGTACATAGGAGTTGTATATTTAAAAACGTTTGAGTAGTTCGAATGACATATGTTCACCAAAGAGAAATTCAATTCGAAGAAATGAGAAATTCGGTGGTCTGAGCACGAGACGGCTACTGAAGCATGCATTTGGATTTCGGGAATGATTTCAATCGATGGAACTGCTACAGTACCTTAGTGCCATGCCACTATAGCACGCGCAAATGTAAAATCCGAGCATAGATCTATGTTAGATATAGTCTCGATATCATTTGCACCCACTGCAATTCATTACTAAAAATTACGACGTATAAAATAAGTCCAACGCACTTTCACTACGGATATAAAACTTCCAGCGCGAAATTGACTAATTCACAGGTTATTTGAGAATTCACGTAAAAGAAATATTGTTGGTAGCGCCAATACGAGAAACCAGACACCTTCATATGTAAATGTCGGCAATATGACGCTTCACTTTCGTTTTAAAGCTGTCAGATCCACGAACATGCGAACGCGGGGATCCAATTTTACGTTTCAGCCGTAGAGCACATCAGCGCCAACGTCGGCCTTTCAAATTGTTGCAAGCTTAAAGTAAAGTTCACATTGATCGCAAAACGACCATATGATGCGTATCGGAAGCAGATACTTTGCACAGTGAGTAAATGCGCAAATCTAGGATTACGTGGCAATGATCGTTAAAAATTACTTTCAATACTCGAAGCTTTGCGTTACGCTGTAGCTGCGATAATTAGATGCGAAAATTTCAGGCCCCTTTTCTCACGATTCGGCTGATAAATCGCGCAATGAACGCGGATTCACAGAGCTCGCTCAACGTTACATAAAACGCCAGAGTGATAGTCGCGAACATAGTGATGCATCCAACTCTCTCTTCTGCGAATGACGCTGAAAGAAGAGGAAGAAAAAAGCGTTGATTCCTGAATTCCTCAACAAGCTGAAGAAAAAAAGGCTGCTCCGAATCTCCTCTTTACGCCAGTGGAGCACGCGAGCGTGGCTACGTAGGCAGACAAATAGCAAAGGAACGAGAAGAAGGAAAAGAGGCTCGCGGGCCGCTGGATAGGCATACTTATCCGTGCGCATCCATTTCTCCGGATAAGCCATGGCCGTGAGTCAGAAGACGAGGAGGTGAGTCGTCAGTGGCGCGAGAAGCTGATCCGCGGCGGCGGAGAGACGCCGAGGCGCTTACGCTCACGGCTCGATTTCCCGCGAACCGGACACGTCTAGGCTGGTCTAGGCGGCGCGTACACGCGCCCAACTGCGAAGAGGCGAGCGCGGGGGATCAACGACCGGCTGCTTCTAATAACATTTGTATGCACAGTTCTTCCGTTAGGAGACGACTTTTTCCTCTCTCGCCCATGCTCCCCGAGCTCCTCGCGCTCCTAGCGCTTCGTAAGCCGCGCGTGTGGGCCTTTTTCTGCTTCTCTCGCTCGCTGCGTGTCTCTCGCAGGCAATGAGCGCGCGAGCGCGCCTCGGCCAGAACTTCCTTTCTGTTTACTCGCGCGGACGCGTGCACACGGACTTTTTGCTCCTATCAATTA